TAATCCCAACTCTATACAGATCATTCCAGCAATATTGTAAATGTTGCAGCAATGTTCCTGCAAGTTTCTGTGCTATACGGGAACGTAAACAAAAAGTGATCCACATATTTGTATTTGCTATTGAGATATACAAATGATTAGAAGATTTTACCTGTCTAAATGTGAAAAGTGATTTTTCTTTTCCACTAGTGTTATGACTAAGGAGAGTTAAAGAAGAGCCAGATGGACCAGAAGGACTAGAAGGTCCTTCCATGTCTGATGAATCACCACTGTTTGTTTGAGGCTGAAAGTGCAATTGTTTACGTCGCTGCAATCTGCGGATTTCTTCTCTGATGTTGGCAGCCATCTTTTCTGTATAAACAAATATACACTGTTTAAAAATATATATATATATTTTTTTTTTATATTAAATTTGGATTAATTTTCAATAAAATGCACAGGTTAAAACGTCAAATTAACGTACAATTTATAATAATAATATACAAGAAAATAAATGTGTTTATCAAGGACTTTCTCTCTTTAAAATAACAAAAATAAAGATAATCTAGCTACTAATCAACGCAGAAATAGTGCGCAAAAAATTTTTAAGTAATATTGATTATTACTCCATTTGATGTTAAACAATAGTATGCAATATTTATCCAGATAAATGTTATATTTATAAGGAGGGATCGTATTCACAATAACATTAAAAATATGTACTTTATTGACTCCTATTTATGAGAAATTAACAGTTTCTATTTTATAGTAATAAGACTACTTGTAACAAAATTTTATGTAAAAAAAATATTTAAATTTAAATATTAAAATATTTGTTCGGATAAATACTTAAGGATGATTTGGCGAAAGTTAAAATGACTTTTCAACAGTTTGTTTCTTTTACATTTCATTACATACTTATATTATTCATTTTATATTGAAATTTCATAATTATTAATACAATTATATGACTAAAATTAATATTAGGTAGTAAAAAGAAATCCATTATTTTTCCAATAGATAGCTTTAGTAATCTGTATCTCGTCTACGTGTGATATTATATATACCTAATATAATAACATGTCATTTATATGAAACAATATCCATCATAATATAAATTTGTAAAATATTTGAACATTTTTTTTAAGTATTTAAATGTATATTATACATATACTTAAATAATTTCTTGTCTAAATAAAATAATCAAATTATATATTATATTAAATTTATTGACATTTTTTTCAGAGATGCCAAAGAGTTTGCGGGTTATTACCATGTCATGATACATTATTAAAGGGCTTCTCGCCCTGATAAAGTGAACGGCAAGATTCACAAAACGTTGACATTAGCAATGGATCATGATATAGTGATAAGCCCTTTGATTTATTATATTATATAAAGATTTAATATATTACATAAAATATCATGTATCGTCCAGGTATGTCGCATGCTATGTAATGACTTATAAGATCTAATAATTTAATGATATGCATGTAGCTATTTTTATAAATGCACTTGTAATGTTTTTTTATGACAACTTGTGGCATGTTGACTGGATTAGTTATCGTTTCTGTCTCAATTTACTATCTGCTCATTCCATTCGTAGTTTTTATCTTATATTTCACTGGCACGCTTCTAATAGCTGTTTTCGTTTCTCTCAATTTTTCTCAATTGTGATTTTTGTGTTTTCGACTGATTACGCAGGTTTAACAATTTATTCAGCGGTGTACCTGAACAATACCTTATTTTCCATCCTTCAATATATTCTAAATCGTCCAATCATGTCTCTGAAGTATTCCTATTGACAAGACGGACGCGTTAGCGATAACTCTCTTTAAAAAATTTATATATATATATATATATGTACTATCCAGACTGTGGCGTGTGTATGGAAAGTAGAAAACGCTATTCCAGACGCATCTTTGCGGGCTTCCTTTCGCAGCACGGAAAAACCGGAGAAGAAAAAAGAAAAAAAAGGGGGGAGGAGAGGAAAACCCGAATCCCCAAGCGCGTCCGTTACTACATTACCATATGATTTACGCGTGCCCTCCCCTCTCCCCCACCTCCAGTGTGGACGGGTTTTAAATCGCTGGAGCTTAGCCGCCCCTACTCGCTGTCTCTCTCTTTCGCCCAATCTTTCCTCCTATCCCTTCACGCCCCTTCACGCTCATTCTCTCTATGCGCAAGGAAGATAAATACGCGTGCGAGGGAGGGACGGAGAGAGAGAGAGAGCGATCGAGAGAGAAAGAGACAGAGAAAGAAAACGACAGGAAGGCAAAAGGAGAGAGGAGAATGAAAGACAGAGATAAACATAGGGGAAATGCGACGGGTGCGACAAAGAACGAGAGAAAAAATGGCCGTAGCCTGCGGTGTAATTACCAGGCGTCAATTTGTTAGCTATCTCGCCGAATGGCGACGATTTCTGCGGCAGCGATCCACTGCGTGGTGACGACGCGGAAGCGCCGGGCGAGGCACACGACATCGGCATGCACCTCCGTCGTTTGCTGGGCCGACCATGGCTGTGTACCGGGTCGAATTCCAAGGACCTCTTGAGCGTGGCGCACGCCATGGTGCTACTGCTGTCGGTGGTGGCGCAGTGTTCTCGGACTTACCCGTCTCGTGTGTCCCGTGCGCGACTGACACCCAGTCGCGAGGGCCGTGGCCCCCCCCCCTTCGGGGGAAGAGAAGGGTGGGGCGCGGAACCGACGTTGGCTACAAGAAGCTCAAGAGGGTGAGGGGAGGGGAGGAGTAGCGGGGAAAGCGGGGTGTCTTGAATATGACAAAACACCGACGTCCGTCAGCGAATTTAAATGGATGCGATGATGGTCCTCGTGATTGCTTGAGATTTCCCACAATCTGCCAGCTTGCTTGATAAGAGACGCAGGGACGGGATTCGTATACGTGCGCGCGCGCACGCATGGGACCAACGCGCAGCTTCCACCGACAAAACAAACACTACGCTCGATCGCGGCAATATGGCCGCGACGATTCCTCACTTTCTCTCTCTCTCTCTCTCTTTCTCCTCCTCCTTCTCTCTCTCTCTCTCTCTTCTTCTCGCCTCCAGCTGGCCGACTCACTAGTCACCGCCGCTTGCTCCCTCTCTCTTTTTCTTCTTCTTTTAGTTGACATGAGGCTTGTTCTTTTTAACTGAACTTCTGTACGATTCATTTATTCTTTTTTTCCTTTTTATATTGGAAAGAAAAAGAGAATAGAGAAACTGTAGGTCTGTTTGCATTGTTTGAAATTCTCAACAATTTTTGTACTTAAAATGAGATAGATATATATATTGTACAATATTTGGATATTAAAAAGAGAAAATGCGAAAGTGCTAAGTGCAAAAAGTGCAATCAATGCGAACAAACCATGTATAAAAAGTTCAGCTGAAAAGAACAGACTTAGGAAAATAGTCATGACACATACAAATATCTAAAATTTGGATGATTCGCAATGTTCGATATTCAATGTCCAACAGGAGAATACGATTTCTAGGGACTTTTGCTAAGGATCGTGTAAATATGTTTTGTTATGAAATATTGAACTTTCCGCATTGATATGTAGAGGAGTGGTTCACTTACACACTGTTGCAATTGGCACTGCCAATCACATTGACTGCCAATACAGCCGATTTGTAGTTGCAAAAATAAAAGAGAAAACACAATTTTAATTTTATCTAAATCTAATACAAAAGAATAACTTATTTATTTTAATAATAGCATGGCTTCAGTCTCCTGTATGACTTCAGGGGGTCGATTCTGTAGCTTCAAACAAGGTGAAAATTACAAAAGCGAGCAAATTTACTAGGTGTTCGCCAATGAAATAATCAGTATTCTAGTAAATTTGCTTACTTTTGTAATTTTCACCTCGTTTCAAGATACAGAATCGATCCCCAGAATTGATCCCTAGGGAGCTGATTACGGTTCTTTAGACGAAATGAAAATTACAAAAATGAGCAAACTCATTAGGTATTAACCAATGAAGTATTGTATTACTTTATCCTTGTTGTTCACCAAATATTAAACAAAGATCAAGGGCTACATCAAATAAAATTTCTGTAATGCTGATTCTACAATGAGGCTGTGGTCAAAGTCTCGTTACAAATGCTTTGAAGCATTTGATGGACCAATTAGAAGAAAGAATTTTACAAACTAACCAATTAAAAAACATTATTTTAAAGTGTTTGTAGCATCGCGTTAATCGTATCCCGAGTCGATAGTCAGAAGTCTTAAATCGGAATCAGACTACGCATTGAAGAATGAGATTGAAAATTGAAAGAATAAAGTTTGACCAATCAGAACAAAAGGAATTCAAACTTTTTTGTCCTCATTGGTGAAATTTCAATCTTTAATCTTTAATCTCAATCTTCAATGCATAGTCTGATTCCGACTTTAGTCTTAATCGGTGAAGTTGGCCAATCAGCTTTAGTCGTACAAGTTGGCTATTGATCAACTTCACCGATAAGACTAATCAATTAGTGACTCATTGTAGAATCAGCGTAACAGTAACCTTAAGAATGAACTTAAGCCAATCAGAACACTGCTTTAGATCTACGTACTCTAACGGAAATAGAAATAGCAGTAAATTTATCCATAAGACGTTTCAACTGGTTGAAATTCACTTTATTACAAGATTATGGATAAATTTACTGTTATTTCCATTTCTGTTAGATTACGTAATCTAAGCAGTATCCTGATTGGTTTATTGGCTTAAATTTACACTTTACGCATACTGTTACGGAATTTTGTGTGCAGCAGCCTTAATGCACCCAACAGTTGAATGAGCGCTCGCTATTATTAGAATATTCTTCTATATTATCCAATGAGACGTTTAAATCTAAAAGACTACACCAATACGCAACGAGCATGCACTCAACTGTTGAATCTGCTGAATTCGCCCAATGGTTGACACATTCATAGAAACAGTGATATGTGTACACACATTATGCTATATGCATAATACGTATAATAACATATACATATGCGATTAGTTAGTATGCTCGCGCTTGCGTTGTTACAGGTGATTATTCGGCCGAATCCGTCGAATACGGAGCAGTACGGAACGCAAAGGTCATTCTACACCTGTCTACATCGATAAAATGTCGATATTTCCGAGTCTTATGGTCGAGCATTAATCTTTTACAATTTACGTAGACGTGTCTGATCACTTGGATCGCGTGCCAGTCGCAGTTAAGAGCGGTACGTCACATTTTAGGGATCTCGAGTCACCTCAAGCAACCTCAAGATATCTTTGATTGGAGGGGGAATTGACGTGCGTGCGTGCGTACGTATATGCGTGCGAATCTCTTTTACCTGCATAGTGCTGTTTCATACGTGCTTGTGTATATATCATCATCTTACCCTCGTCGCGTCGCGTCATTTGGCGGCGGACGTGCGGTGGGGAAAGGAAGATTGTAGGTTATGAAAAAATCGTGCAAACACTGTACAAGCGTGAGTAACATATCGACGGTGTGTCTGCCGAAGACGAATCGTAATCGCGCGACGAGTCTCGGGGACGACAGTCTTTTGAACCTCGATATGAAGGAGCAGGATATACCCGAGTATCTAGAGGGCTGCGGATTATCGGCTTGTACGGCTAGCAACGAGATATCCGAGGACGTGGAACTTCAACTGATGCATGACAAAAAGTTCTCCACCATGTCATCCTTTGGAAGTAGCAGCAGTAGCAGTCTGGTCGACTCCAAGAAGATCGTTATGATCAAACATCCAGACTCGAACAAGCTGAAACCCGCTGGTAAGAAGACCAAGCCGATCCAGGCGGAGTTGGACGTGGGCAAGGAGTTCATCCGATGTAGGGAAGACTGCGTGAGGCGGTTGGACCTGAGCAAGGCCTGTATCACGACTTTACCTAGTTCCGTAAAGGAACTGAAGCACCTACGAGAGTTCTATCTCTATGGCAACAAGCTGACGACTCTGCCACCCGAGATTGGCTACCTGTCGAATCTGGAGACGCTCGCGTTGAGCGAAAACTCGCTCACCAATTTGCCCAACACTCTGGAGAATCTCAAGTCGCTGCGGGTGCTAGATCTCAGACACAACAAGCTCATCGTGATTCCAGATGTAGTGTACAAACTCACGTCGCTCACCACGTTGTTCCTGCGCTTCAACCGTGTCAAATATGTCAAAAACAACATATGTAACCTGACGAATCTTACCATGCTGAGCTTTCGGGAGAACAAGATCAAGGAACTGCCTGCAGGGATAGGCGAGTTGGTCAATCTTCTCACCTTTGATGTCTCGCATAATCATTTGGAGCATTTACCTCCGGAAATTGGCAAGTGCGTGCAATTGTCTACCCTGGATGTGCAACACAACGAACTGCTCGACTTGCCGGATACAATCGGCAATCTGGTGTCGTTAACGAGACTAGGAATCCGATACAATAAACTGACAAGTATTCCTAAATCATTGGCGAACTGCAAGTTGATGGATGAATTCAGTGTAGAGGGCAATCAAATATCGCATCTACCAGACGGACTGTTGGCTAGTCTGTCATATCTTACGACAATCACTCTGTCTAGAAATTTGTTTACTTCGTATCCTGCAGGTGGTCCAGGCCAATTCGTCAATGCTTATTCCATCAATGTAGAGCACAATGAGATCGACAAGATACCCTATGGCATCTTCTCACGATCCAAGAACCTTACAAAATTGAACATGAAGGAAAATAAGCTGAACACTTTGCCGCTGGATATCGGTTCGTGGGTGGCAATGGTCGAGCTGAATCTTGGAACGAATCAGCTGACAAAGCTCCCAGATGACATACAGTGCCTGCAAAGCCTGGAGATATTGATTCTCTCTAACAATGGACTGAAACATATTCCGACCACTATAGTGAATCTCCAAAAGCTGCGGGTGCTGGACCTGGAGGAGAATTACATTGACGTGTTGCCGAACGAGATTGGGTTGATGACCGAATTACAAAAGCTGATCTTGCAATCGAATAAGCTTACAGAGTTGCCACGCACAATCGGTCATCTGAGGAATCTCACGTATCTCAGCGTAGGCGAGAATCAACTAACTTATTTGCCAGAAGAGGTTGGCACCTTAGAGAGCTTAGAGTCACTCTACCTCAACGACAACAAGTCCTTGCACAATCTGCCATTTGAACTGGCATTGTGCAAGAATCTCGGTATTATGTCAATTGAAAATTGTCCGCTGTCGCATATACCAATGGAAATTGTAGCCGGTGGACCATCACTGGTGATTCAATTTCTTAAGATGCAAGGTCCTTATCGACCAACATAATTGTTTTATTATTTTATTTTATCGCGTTTTTTTTTTATGGTTATATAGATGTCGATTCTTAATTATAAGAGATAAATAGAGAGAAAGAGAAAGAGAGAGAGAGAGAGAGAGAGAGAGAGAGAGAGAGAGAGAAACAGAAACAGAAAAGTTCGATGACATACGAGAGAAATGTATTTATAATAATGACATACATATGTCGATTTAAATTCTCATTTTAATGATCTCATTTTAAGGAAATATATAAACAATGCTATCACATTACACTATATAAAACACGAAACACACAATTCACTTTGTTTCCATATCGTAAGAAAAATATCTCTTTCCGGGTGCAGGAAGATGTAATGTATAACATAAAGTTGAGTAAGAATTTTTTTTTTCAAACAAGAGGAAGATATATAGAGTAACTCTTGTACAATTCTAACGAAATATTTTAGATATCATGGTAGATGATAATTTTATTAAAGTATTAAAGTATAAAAAATATATATCGTATTTATATATTTTATATTTGCGCTTTTAGTTTGCGTTTTATATTTATCAAAACGTATAATCCGATGTTGATAGAATTATCAACAAAATACTGTATAAAAGTATATGTTTTTATAAAATGCAATGAACCGGATTTTTTTATATATACATATATATGAAATATAAGAGTTCTTTATATATTAACGTATTAAGTTCGTTATTAATAATATTAATTATTACTTAGATTTGTTAAATATATAATGCATATTGTATTTTTATCGTTAATAATTGGTTTAATACTTAAAATACTTTTGTATTTTAACATTGCTTTTGATTGCAAATTAACTCTTTTATTATTATACACAGAAAAAAAATTTTAATTAAGTAACTGACATATAAGATATTATAAATGCATATATTGCAATTATTTTTTAAAACTTCGTAAATCAAATAACGATTTATTTTTATATTCCACTTGAAAAAGTTGAACAGTTTAGAAATATTTTAATGTTTTTATACGCAACAAAATTGCGTAAGAACGCGTGTTGTTATAAAAAGGAATAATAAACGTCCTACAAATATAAAAAAATAAGATCTTTAATTTATAAATGATAAAGAAACATTAAGAATCGGCATCATTTACATAACATTGTTTACTATATAAAGGTTGAAACTTCGTATATAAGCAAAAAAAAGATATTTTACTAAAGTATTTAAATCGGGAAATTGTGACTATGAGCATATGAAACGAAACATATACGTAAATTTCTACACACATTTTCTCATTCTCCGATATCATATTTGTCGATATGCGGTATTGTTTGTCTTTCGTCAATGCATGTTACCTTGTAAGGTACAAAATTGTAGATGTAAGATCTTCTGTGGGAAATCACTGATACATAAAACTATATAGCTCTATTTATCTGATACAACAGTTCGCATCGATAATGGAGACTGTGAAGGTAAGGATTTATGTACAGAAAGCAAAAAGAACAAAAAGCGATGATTTACGCTTATGAAATAATGGTGAAGTACGACATCGCGCATACCAGAATTTAAGATTTACTCTTATAATATAATTTACAGTAACGAACAACGATTATGCGTTTCGTCGAGATTCACGGAGTAATTGTAAGATGAATTCTATGTGCAATTATTCCTATGTAAAGTAGCGCGAGATTTCTCATGGTAATTCGCATCTTTCTGTGTTTAAATTAGGTAAATATAGATATAAGAGCTGGAAAAAAGAGGGAGCGCATCCGAGCGTAAAATGCATATTACGGTTTGTAGATTATCAAAGAAATTTTTGAAACAAAAGTGATATTAGACAAGAAAATGATAACGGTGAAAATATCCTGTAATTGTACAAAAAAAAAACGGAAATAATATGGATCTTATTCTATTTGATTTATTCTGTATGACAATTAAAGCAACGAAATCTCTGTACTGTTTCAGGATGTGTTTTTATTAGATTAAAGAGATTGTGCTGCCAAGTGTAAACGTTAAAAAAAGAATGAAGAAGACATTGAGCATTTTCTTGAGATTATATTCTGCTAAGTTCCATAAAGCGATCAATGTTGCGACTACATTTCATCTCATTCTCTTTCCTTCTCTCTCTCTTTCTCTCTCACATACGCTCGCACATTGTTGTTATTCTGCTTTTGTCTTTACACAAAGAAATAGTGCCAATGTAATTATAAAATTACATGTATTATACATCCATAAATATTTGTACGTCCGTTTTATTAATTAAAAATAAGTATTATCGTACGTATATTATATAAATAGGCTCGCATTTAACAATGTGCCTATAGATCTTAAGAGTTTTGAATTCTAAGATCTATAGCTTATCTGATTTCTTCATTCTGAACAGTCTTTTCACTTGTGCATGTGTTATAAGAGATGTGCGAATCAAAGTTTTTTAACACCGAATCGAATCGAATTAAATTTAATCAAATTACTAAAACATAAGTTTTAACTAACAACAATTATTGTTAGATTGAATTTTACATAGATAGTAAAAAAATTTTTATCTGTTTACTTACTAGTGGAATTTTATAAGATTGTTAAATATGTAATTTGTATTCAAATCTTTTAGATTCAACATTTTTGAATAGTTCGGATTCGAATTATACAGATCTTATCTGATTCGATTCGTATAGTTCGTACATTTCTAATGTTATTGAATTGTTTCTCTATATACATATATGTCAAGTGGCGTAGTCGTGTAACATGCACTAAGATGTCATAATTTGCATATTTGTAATTAGCTAATTTGTTCTTATTACATCGTTTCCTATGTCTTGTGGCTTACTTAAGTGTCGAGTCTTTACTGTTATCGCATATTTAACACTACGCAATCGTGTAATTAATTAAATTAATTAATTTAATTGTAGAAATTAGTGCTTTTTCGATAGGAGATAATTTCATTTAGTATTAAATATGCGAGCATAATCGGGATTATCGCATGCTTCATAATAACTATCGAAAACTAAATTATAATTACGTTTTAATATGTGTTCAATTGTGAAATCAATCATACGTGATCTCTGTTAATGTGCGACATTCGCCGAAGATGATTTGCGAAAATATAGCTTCGTTTGCAAATATGCATTCAGCATTGTTTGTATTTGTTGCAAATGCTAGATTATTTGGTGGCCGCCGACATATCAATTATTGACGCGTTCTAATAATCAATAAACATTGAGTATTGTAAAAATCTTCATGTATCATAGTTGAAGATATTAATTCCACACAAAAGAGGCGTCTGCCGTAATCTCTATTGTCCGCAAATAGACAATAGGTATATCTTGTAAAAAAATTGCAACTACTATGGCTGTGCGATAATTTTTATTTAAGTGCTGCAATTATCTCTGTATATCAATAATCCATATTAATAATCCTTATTCTTTTTTTCTTTCGCTCTACATATATGTGTATGTCATAAATTTTAAGCTCCTGTTTTCCATTATGTAACAGTTTCTAACTGTGAATTAAAGAATTTTCTTCGATGTCTATCGAAAGCCGCTCAATAATAAATTTATAATATTTTAGATATTCTAATTTTTTTCTTCGATCTTTAACGCGACGAAATTCGATATTAGATGTTGCTATTGTATAATTTGTAATTTATTACAAATTTTATTAGACATTTCATGATCTATTAATTGTTATTTTAATGAAGTTAATAGAAGTATTCCTTCGCGTTAAGGTTCAATACGTTACAAATTTCGTTTCTGTATATGAATATATCTATCTGTTTGTATGCTATCAGTCAGTATGTGTATCTATGTTTTTTGAAAGAATGAAGTATGCACCTCGCAAGGATCGCGATGAGATTCGTCTCTTGGCTTCCTGTTTTAAGTAAGAATCTTTATCGCTGAAAGATTGCATGTAAAATACATTAATTTGCAAGTTCTCTCCATTAGACTGTACATACGAGGGCGTTTCGACGTGGTCGGGTTTGCGAATTAAAAGTGATTAGTGATGAACGATAATTAAAGATTCGTTCTCTCGCAAAGATTATTTATAATCCATTATGATGATATGAGCATGTTATGAAGGAGGAGACGTTGTAAAACTTAATTAGTACAATTTAAAAGAGCACGTCGGACAAGCGTTGCGAAGGTTCTTGCTAATTAATGAGTATGTCAGATATTTTAAGTCTGAAAGTGAAAACTTCTTTCATTGTATTATAGAGGATAAAGGTTGCGATATAACGGTCGCCATGAGCTCCCACTTATGCGAACTATTAATAGTGAAATGCGTCGACTATTATCGAAGACGTAAGCGGTTCATCGATATTAAACAAAAGATTTTCTTTTTTTAAAAGTATGACGTAATTTATTCAACGTTATGTAATGTTAGAAATAGTGCGCAGTGTGTGCATTATTTTAAAATGGAAATGTTGGAATTTTATAATAATAAGTAATATAATTTTGTATGTTTATTGCTTTTAGTGTATTTTACACGTTGTATATGTTATCTACAATTATAAGGATATATTATTATATCAGTGCTTTTGTATTTTTTCATTTTATGCATTTCGATTATTAAATTTATTTATTTATTGTTGAAAATGTTACATGAAGGAGTTAAATGAAAATACCAAATCACGATATCGATACTTATATATATTTTAATTTATAGATACATGTAAATTAAAATATACATATTAAAATAAAGACAAATTGAATTAAAATTTTAAACTTAAAATTTTTAATTGCATTTTCAATTTAACAAAGAAAGTGTCCGAAAAATTTATATAATAGAAAAAGTACGAACATTAGCATGTTCGATAAATAAAGGCTGCAATTTAAAAAAAATTTAATTAGATTAATTAATGTTAATGTTTTTTACGATGTTATCGAAACGACGTGACGTGGCGACCGTTTAAATTAGTTTCTAGCTATTGTAATGAAAGTCTTCTCATGTAGAAAATTCATCGAGTCATTCACATATAAGTTGTCAAGATCGTTGATACAATACGATCTAACTGTTATAAACAGTTAAAAAAAGAAATAAAGAAACAAAACAAATTGATAAACGCGGCACATAATCCACGTGCAAGTGATAAGTTTACCGTGACGATTGTAAACGCCCAGTACACTATTTCAAGTAAATAAACGCTTGTTGAATAGTTCATTGCGTAACATACGATATTGTGTTAATTGTGTATAATTCCAAGAATGTAATATTAAATGTAACTCAATGTATATTACGTGACTTTACGTCAGACGCTGTATAAATATTTCTAAACATGCAAATATATTATAAAATATTTTCCCGAAAATCTCTCTTATTTCTCCGTTTCTGCGCGATCTTTCTCCGATATTATAAAACTTTGCGTATAATTTTAAGTTTATATTTAATTTTTTTATTACAATGTAACAGTTAAGATAATAATTAAAACAAATTTTTATTATTAATTATTAATTATTATTAATTACTATTAATTATTATTTTATTATTAATTATTGATTTTTAAAATTAAATTTTTAATATTTATATTGAAAATCAAAATATCCCTTAATCATCTTTAATCATTTGTGCGAATATGCTTGTCGAAATCAGTTATAATTAATACTTATGCTTGTGATATTGTTGAAATTTGATAGAAATCTCGCTGCGTTTCTTGAGAGTAAAATTTTGGGATTTCTTGTTGCTTGTAGACTGTAATCGCCATTAATGCATATCTCATTATTGCAATACAAACATAAAGTAGTCAATAGAGAAAAGAAATAATTTTGAAATTATTACTTCTATAGATGTGTTCGTGATTATTGTGTTCGCAGTAAATATGATACTTCTCTCAAGCGACAATTCGGGATAATTCTTAGGAACTGTAAATACGAATTTCTTCTTAGGCATAAAATTCGATTTGTCGTTTTTCATTTGTTCTAAAAAAAAACAAATATGAAAACCAAAAATGCAAAAATGCAATAATTAATGGAAAAGTATTCTGACAAGAATGATATGCTAAAGAAATCATTGCACTGATTGATTACATCCATTAATTAAATTGATTTAATTAGAATTACATTGGAACGTACTTGCGCAACCTGAATCATTCTTGCGTCGTTTGACTTTATTTCCATTATTAGAAATTATTTCATCATATATCGGCATCGATATCGTTTTAAGTTTGTACGAAGACTGCGGAGAACATATCAATCTAGAATTAAGTGATAAATTTTCTTATACAGATATCGTTATAATAGTTTTAGGCCCAGTTCTACTAATGTAAGATTAACTTTAATCTCGATTTATCTTTTAATGTTTATGTTTTTCTAATTTTTGGAATTAAAAAAAGATAAAGAGTAAATTGAACCGAGATTAAAATTAATTACACTGATGAATTCAGTTGTACCTCAATAATTCCGTGACATCATCCGAGATTAATTGCAACTTTCGTAATTTTGTTAAAGCATTCTCCACCTCTCGTTTAACGCTTTTTCCTTGATTAAGATCAATCATTTCTGCTTTGATAACATCGATTTCATTTACGAGATCAATCAGTTCGGAGCTCCTTTTCGTATCTAACAGAATTATCTTCGGTTTAACGCGCGCGTGCGAGTGAAAGAATCTGAACCCTTTAAGAGTAACCTCGACCGTACTAATAAGCGATTAACTTAATCGATAAAATTAACTTAGCAAATAATATTGTTTCGTTAAAATGTATAGAATTAGAATTATCATCTTTTTTATATGAAAAAAAGATTAAATTCGAGATTATAAATATCGTATAGTTGAATATTGTATTTTAAATAGATAATTTTGCCAATTAATTTAATTCTCGATTAACTTAATAGGTAATTGACTTACAAATACTTATAATATATTGTTGTATATTTTATTAATATGGATAGAATTATTAATTTTTTTGTTTTTTAATATGTGGTAAAAAAATCGGATCACACAAGGAATTATATAAAAATTTATTTTATATAATTCTGTTGGTTGAATCAATTGTCGAAGTTAATCAAAGTGCCAAAGGTCAAAGTTGCCAAAATTTTTAATTTTTATATGATCCCACCATCTTTACAGTTGCTCCTTGGCTTTTCACAATTTGTAACAAAATGATGATATTGAAAGATAACAGCAAAATCATGTTCATGTGAGAATCGCCATATCTGTTCGCATAATGAGTCTTCCAGCGACCACACTTGATAATTTAATTTCTCCTGAATTAAAAAAAAATATCTCGTGCATTTAATGCAATTAAGAGATGAGTCACAATTTAACAATTTAAATTAGACATAGTCCAATAAAATATTAAATTTGACAAAAGTCAATTATTTAATTAAATAACTATTATAATAACTTTAATTTATATAATTTAAATTTATATTTTAATTTATATTCAAAACTTCATATTTAAATTTATAGAACTAATAATCTCGTATAAATTAATGCAAATAATTTCTGCAAATATTTAAAGAAAAATTTGAAATTATTTAGGCAGAATTTTATCAATGGATTTATCACCAGCTCTCGTTTTTCTTCCTCCAGTATCTTTTTCTTCTCCAGAAAGCTATCTCGATACATACTTATTGCGTCCTTCGTGATTCTCAATTCTACATATTTATTTCCGTATGCGATTAGAAAAGGATCAGGAGCAAGATTTTTCGTACTGCTCGAAGAATCATTCTTGGAATCAATCATTTTTGTCGTTTGCTACATCAAAGTAAAATGAAATTATCTAAAATTATAGCTACATATATCATCAAAGTCGTTTTTTGTTCATAAGGTTTCTCAAGTATATAAGAGTTTGGACCTTGCTTATAGATACTTTTTTTTGGTTCTCAAAATTATTAATAACTACAAAGAAATTTATATTTTATCATTATTTTTTAATATATTTTTATTATTATTATAGCTATAATATTTATATGTATAAACTTTAAATTAAATTAAATCAGTTTTATATTAATAAATTTGTAGACAATAAACTCTGTATATAATTTAAACATTTTAATAAAAAATATTGCAGTTAATTAAAAATATGTTTAAATTCTTACTTGAAGAATTTTAAGTCCTTTTCGACCAATTTGCAGAGCACTTGCGTGGGCAGTCAAATCAGAAAATCGATTGTATTTTGAAATGAAATAAAAATTATAAAAGTGATTAAAAAAATTCACTAGAATATTTATAACTTCATTGGTCAATACCTAGTAAATTTGCTCACTTTTATAATTTTCACACGATACACAATCAACTCTCAACTGTTTTCAATTGTTGAGTCGAATCGACGAATGAGAAACCGTTATGTCTTTCGAGTTTCGACGCGCATTGAAAACCGTACATAAACTTCTCAGTACATAAACAAACTTCAAACATGCGAGTGCATGATAAAACGTGATCGTGCGGTCTGAGATCTTTCATTCATTATACAATTATTGAAGGTTATACGTACAAGACGAAAACCAACCTCATGAACTGGAACGGGATGAAACTGTTGAAGAAACCGTAAGTTTATATTTCGAAATAAGTTACATTTGCATGATATCAAAGATTCCACGTAACCTTGAAATATTATGAATCAATGACGCGAGTCTAACACGCCAAGACAAGGCGGGAACAGATGATATTGTTATAGTAATTCCTCTAATTTCTATCACTGTATTTGCAGCGATCCGCGATCTGCATATCCCCAGGGAGTGCGATGCCAAAAGTGTCTGGAGATGGGACACTGGAGTTACGAATGCAAAGGCAAGAGGAAATACCTACATAGATCTTCTCGCACTTCGCAGCTGAAGAAAGCTATACAAAAGCAAGAGAATGGTGATGAGTTATATATATATATATATATATATGTATACAGGACATTTTTTATTGAATCAATATATTTAATATATTTCCTTTAGAACTTTAGAACAAGGAAATATATCTCGACTTATTTAATAAACTAGATTATTTTAAGCAATGTTTGTTCTTCATAAAGGATATATAAACCGAGACAATATATCAGATATTTTTTTAAATTTTGATCTTGATACGAGATAACATATCTGTAGTTAGGCTAAAGAATGTTTTTCAACAAAGATATAATTGACATAGAGGGATATCATCTTGTTGATGGATTTATAAAGGATTTATAGTGAATTGTATCATTCTTGTTTAATATTAATAAATAACCAAGGTATAACGATTCTGTATTATATTAGACCTGTTCTGTTTAATTGAACTTTTTGCATCACTTATCTTTTCTCTTTTTTTCTTCAACATGGAGAAAAAAAGAGGAAAAATAAACTTTGCAAAAAATTCAATAAATTATTACTCTTGTTATTAATGTTAAATTTGGATGAAATGATTTACTGTCATCTGTGTTTTACTGGAAAACATTCAAATTGAGGAAGATCTTAATGTATTATTGTGTCATGCTTTAGTCAAGAGCAAGAAAAAGAAGCAAAGCATCATCACAACAGCAAGAAAATGAGGAAAGAGGATTCCAGCAATTCAAGTGATTGGAGTAGCAGTTGTAGCACCTCCAGCAGCGATAGTAGCATAAGTTCTAGTAGCAGTAGTAGTAGTAGTAGTAGCAGTAGTTCCTCGGATAGCGAATCGGATTCTAGCGATAGTGTGTCTAGTAGCAGTAATAGCAGTACTACTAGTAGCAACAGCAGTCATGGTTCCTACAAAAAGAAATAACACAGATGCTATTGCGTGAAGTCGAGAAGAAATTTTTTTTCGACTATCTCTGGCTTTTGACAAAATATCATTGTCCTATCTGAGTACAATGCCATTTTGTCTTTAAGCAAAATAACTCGATAGATGAAAGAGCAAGTTGGCGACAAAATTCTTTATGCCTTTTGTACAGTAACAAATATTTTTATTTTAACATCGAAGATGTTTGCTTAAAACAAAAATTTCAATAATAAATTAATTTTTTCTTTTTCTTTAATTTTGTAATCTAATCACATTAAGATGATTCATTATATTTCTGCTATTTAGCTTTTTTATGACATGTATAATTTGTTATATTTCTACTATTTAGTTTTTCTATGATATATAATACATATACGTGTGATCACTTAATTTTGTTCACTAAATGGTTGAACAAGATAATGCATCATATATATCATGTGTGAAACAAAATACATATTATATCTTATTATATGAGAACTTTTTCTTTGACATTATTTGCGAGAATTCGTATTATGTTAATAACTGTCATTTCTTTCATAAGGGCTTTAAAATGTTTTATAGTAAATATAAATGTGAAATCAATTGCTAGTTGTATAGAATTGATATTTAAATAGAATGTATTAGTTTTGTACTGTTGTGTGTACGCACATAGATATATGATAGAAAAAACTATTTCATTTGTTAGAAACGTTAATATATTTAATGACAAGTCACAATAATTAAATTTATATAATATTTGATAATGATAAAAATGTTAATGAGCGCTCTGTCAGACATTTCAACATTAATGTATCGAAAAATTTTATGTGTGAGATAAAAAAAAATCGCTGTTTTAGTATAATTTAAATACATGTGCAAAAATACGACGCCGCTTTTCTCCGGATTAATCTTCAATATCTTCGGGCAGAGTCTGTATTATTACTTTCCTTCTTCGCTCGTAAATAAAATTATTTGTCTTGAATATGTCACTCTCGTAGAACGGATGTAAATTATGTATGTCGATTTGTTTCGCCTGCAATCAAAACACTTTATATATTAGCAAAATGCGCTTATCTTCCCACACAGGGAAAAATGAATGAAGTTGTCATGTAAACCTTTATAAATAATGTAAGATAATATTCTTATGTAAACTATTTTTTTAAACTAATTAGGACAAGATAAAGTTTTTTTAGCCCAAATCATTTTGATATAATTTTCTAATTAAGTGTAATTATATTTGTTAAATTCTTTCCCCCTCTTTTCCTTTCTCATTTTTGCGCGAACGTATTAAATTAAATATAATAATATAATTTGCATTACCCGATCCAACAGATCCTTCTCAGAGATCTCGACGGTCGTGATACGTCCGCCGTGCAAAGCTTTTTGAAATGCCAAAGTGTCTAAAGTGATTTGTCGCAGTATATAATACAAAAGTTCGCTGTGATCTTTCTTATACGATAGGTATTTCTGGAATGTCTGTAACGAGATTAAGAGCACGCGTTAAGATAGAAAGTAAAAATAAACATAAATTGAAAGTGCAAACGAATAAATAGAAATGAAGAGATACCTGACGCATAGATTTCATAACGGAATATTTCTGCGTGTCGACAAAACTATCGAGAACCATCCTAATGGCCAGATTCATATCACTCTCCTGAACATGATCCCTCAGATGCATCTTGGCACTAGCCTCCGCCATACGAATAATGCTTTCTATGTGGCGGACGGTGATTGGCAAACTCCCAGTCGCCTAAAATGTGATCATCAAAAACAATCATATTGCAATGCATCAAAATCTTTTTTACATTATTTAATAATACTAATATTTTTTTATTAATCTTCTAAGATTATAAATAGATATATTCTTTCCTTTGTTTTACTGACTCACCAAGCTTTCCTGCCTCAACTGGCTGTACAATTTCGCCACTTTGTCTTGATCGATGCTGGTTAGTTTTGGATGTACATTCTGCTTCGCGTAAACGATATACTTTTTTAAAAGATCTTGGGGAATGCATAGATTTTGCGTGGCTGGATCCAATATTACAGCTTGTGTTCTCTCCGTTCTTTCTGAATTATCTGTCGGGTGATGTTTGATGTGCGAATTTACGACAAATTTGGCCAGATGACGATCTTGCATGGGATCAACCTCATCCTTGACTATACATAATACATCAAATCGCGAGAGAATCGGTTCCGATAGGTCCACCTATATGCAATTTAATATATAACATATATAATTATCATTTAATCCCACATGTTTGTACAATCTTTAAGGAAGATTCTAATTTTATAATATTATAAATCTATAATTTTATATTTCCATGATATATTTCGCATATATTTTACATTTTACAATTTTATTTACAAATTATAATTTTGTGCAATCGCAAATTAAAAAGTGCTAAAAATACATACATTTTCCGCAAAGGTCATACTGGGGTCGTATCGACCACCGATGGGATTAGACGCCGCTATCACTGCGCATCTGGCATGAAGAGATGTAACGATACCGGCCTTCGAAATAGAAATACTCTGTTGCTCCATAGCTTCATGGATAGACGTTCTGTCCTGATCATTCATCTAGAAAAAATTTATGTGTTGTTTCTAATAACTATATTCAAATTTTGTAATATAAATTATATAAAACTAAACATAATTTTGATATTATATATAAATAGTCTATATATTTAGATGAAAACTATAAACTTCTCCTTTTCTCTCTTTATAACAGTCGTTATTATAATAACAAAAAAAAAGTACGATATTTATAGATATTTATCTTATGAATGAGTTTATTAGTCGCATAAATTATATAAATTTATACTTTGTCGAACTCATCGATAAGGCATATTCCGTGATCGGCGAGAACCAAAGCTCCAGCTTCTAAGGTCCATTCTCTGTTGATAGATGATCTCCTAACGTAAGCAGTCAAACCAACGGCCGAAGCACCCTGACCTGTAGTGAAGACAACTCTCGGTGCCACTTTCTCTACGTATTTCAAAAATTGTGACTTAGCGGTGCCAGGATCTCCGCACAGCAGGACGTTTATATCACCGCGAACTTTATGCTTGTTGCCTACATGTTGCAATATGATGCAAATAAGAAGGAAGAATATATAGAAAACTGATAGGATAATTCAAAGAAGAAATAAATACCAGGATTCTTCGGCTCGCCACCAAATATCGCCAGTGCTAAGGCTCTCTTTATATTTTCATGACCGTAAATCGAAGGCGCGATACTCGCGACTATACGATCTGCGATGCGCTGATCTTTACTTAGAGCGAGTATACTCGAGATGTCCTCTTCCGTTAGCGAATCTACGATTTCTTTCGAATCTTTCACAAATAAATGATTGGCTAATAGAACTGTGGAGAATACTGGAAAGCCCTGTAATACAAAATACAGTAGATATAATCTTATCCCTGTAAAAAGTTACTCTTCTGAGACAAACTTGTGGAATAGATAAATGTAATATAAAAAAAAACATAATTAATATATGCAACAAAAATTTAATCCCACCTGTTCAGTGTTCAAAGAACCATCATAATTATTGGTATAAATAGCTGTGACGTCTATCTCGTCCCCTGGTTTGCAACGATCACACAGGTCGGATAGCAGAATGCAATCTTTGCTGCGCGGTATTCTGCCAGCGGGTATTCTACCCGGGGATTCTTGTATCGTTATTTTTTGATAATTTCTATATATAGTTTGCTCCATATTGATCTGATATATATACACGCGATACATTGTACATAAGTAAATGTGATAATTTTAAAATTAGCTATAGCAATCAAACGTAGAATTCTTTGACTTACTGTGAATGGACCGGCACTCTGACATTCGGGACAAGAGCCTGGTTTAACTTCTGTGTTTTGAGATTGGACGAACGGTCCAAGAATGTAGTTGCATTTTGTACAGTCGTACTTCACCACCGACAATTGCGGCAGGACTCCCGTAGTTGCCGTTACCACTCCAAGAGTTCGAACTAATTGATTCAAGTGGAGTTTTCTGTTGTAACAAAGTAATAGCGACGTCATTTCATACATATTGTATTTGTATTGCTGAGTAAAAATAATATTAATTAGATGATGCATATAACATATTTTTACCTGAATGTGCGTAATTCTTCGATCAACGGCAATTCCGATATTCTCACGTGAATCTCCGACGTGACTCTCTCGTAACTGGGAAAAATTGTAAGCACCAATTCCTTTGCCACTTCATCAAATATCTCAAGCATTTGATATGGCGCTTCTGGTAAAAAATAGGCTAAAACATGTTCCTTACTGGCGAGAATAGGAAATTCCACTATGAAACTGGACTATTAAAATAAATATAAAAACCTCCATAAAATAAAAACTTAAATAAAAAAATTAATATATACAATAAAATATAAACATTTTATTTTATTAGAAATAAAAAATCTTATTTGTATAACTATAAAAGATTGCTATATAAGTTATAAAATAAAATATTCTATAATCCCAAATATCATAAAAAAAATAAAATATATATATAAAAAAGTATATTTTTTAAATTAAAACTTAAATTACATTAGAATTATGTAAGAAATTCGATATACCTGATTGCTCTCACACATATGGCGAATACGTTCTTTATACATGTATTGTCCCTTGGAATTTGTATGAGTGCGAAGAAAGCTTTTAAAGCGATTCGAAATTTCCGTTCGTGGTCCTAACATCATAACCCATTCCTTTACTGAATGTCCTTTGGTATCCTCTAAATTTTCAATGGATTCGATCATCTGAAATAATCAATAGAGCTCATTATTTAAATTATAGATACATTTTTTTACATGAAAATTGAAAGGATTTTACTTCTGCATCCTCCAATATGCCAGTAGCAGCCTTTTCAGCCATACGTCGTTTACGTGCTTGTACATCTTCTTCGTCAGTTTCATCTAAAAGTACAAAGAAAAATATTTATATAAAGATATTTAATTTTATAAGTACACTTTTGAAACTTAAGAGATCAATGTAATACAAAGTTAATTCAGTATATTTATTTTATCTTTAGATATCAGTAACTAATGAAACAAAATTACCATAAAGAAGATCACGATCATCCCTTATGATGCCAGCCGCACGATCTCTTTTTCGCATTTCCGTTTCCGCGGCTAAACGTTCGCCCTGAGACATTTCTGAATACTCTTCGTCATCCAATAAATTAGGATCATATCTATCTAACCCTGACATTGGTCGAT